GCGCGATTTTTTTTCCTGCGCCACTTATTATTTTGTTCGGATTCCTTACTATCATCCATCAAATTTACCGAGAATGACAACATCTTACATATTATTCTTGATCGTTTTTTATAAAGCTGTATGATTTCTGGACCAGCTTTCCAATAACTCAACTCTATGGATGATTGAAATTCATACACACTTTCAGCACTTCAGGAGCCTGTTTTTTAGAATCATACTAGACTTAAAATATTTATAATCAAATGGTTTTTGACATGTTTTGGGAATTAAATACTGGATTTGAAGCTTTAAAAAACGGGCTCTTCAATATACAAAGTGTTCCAGCTGATCAGCTTTAAGACTGTTTTCCGAAGTCTTTTGTGAAAAAATGTGTTTTAACTAACGGCATGATATTTTTATAACAGTTTTGAATTTGTAACAGTTATTCATGACTGTTAGATTAATATTTGATTGTCTTTAAGCGATGTCTATTAAACTGTGAAAAGTTCTGGATCAAAGTTTGGTATAAAGTACCCTTTTGGGTGCATCATCCCTAAAATCCATTTTACCGTAAAATCAATTTTCATCGTAAATATTATACAGTAATCTTTACTCGAGTTATTTAGTGATTTTATGGTATTTATCACAGTAAAAATTGAATATTATAAAAATTTTGGTATATAATATTTTTGTAACGTGATATGTTCCAGTAAAAACGGATTTTACAGTAAAAAGCACCAGCAGAAAAATTGCCGGTAAATTTTACCTTAATTTGATTCGGAATTATTTTTAATGGTATAAAGTGTCTTCAAAAGACTTACTGAAGTTTTCGATTGCGTCATTGATGAGAGACTGTGCTTTGTTTTCGACGTAGGAGGAAATGTTTCTAAGAAACTAATTTTCTTTAATTTTTTTACGGACAATTTGGAATAAAAAAATATGTTTTAAAGTTTTCCTATGATTTATTTTTCTGTACCCTGTAAAACACCCTTATATAATGTAATAAAATTTTAAACAGACGCAACATTATAATTTTTTTAACATACGTAATATTATAAATTTAATTTCCGTTTTGTATTAAATAAATAATCCCAAGAAACTACAGCGGTAAGATATTACTTGATTAAAAATTTCATTCGCTTCAAAAATATATAAATCGGAAATAATAATCGACTTGTTTCAAGAGCTTAAAAGTAGGCACTCATTCTCAAGACTTGAAAGACGCAGATAAGAAGAAACAAAAATGATTTGAAATATAAAACGTAAAGAAATATTGGTAATTGTTTAGGGGAAATTGCTGAGAATTCTTTTTGAGGCGTTCAAATTAATGGAATTTAGAGAAAAAGAATGAATATAGTATTTACACAGAATTTGCAAAAATCAGGCCTTGTAAATTTTATTTAGATCCAAATGGTTAAAATGAACTGGACATCTAATTACAGTTAACGACCCACAAAGTTCACAAAATATGTATTTATAGTTAAACCAACAGTGTTTCGAAAGAAATGAACTCCTAAATATCAGTGGCTGAAGTATCTCATAAATGATTTAAATACATTAAACATTACTGGATGTAAAAACAAAGTTAAAGATATGGTTAAGGGGCATCGAATTCTGAAGAAGACCGAAATCCCTCTTTGGCTGTCGCATCATTGAGGAAAGATGGAAAAAAAATTTCTGAATTCATTTTATCATAATCTAATATCTCGAAGCCCCTGGAAAGTGCAGAAAATAATTTAAAAAAAATTGGAATTATTTTAAATTATTTTAATTTTGTCGGTGTATGTCTTTCAGTTAAGTGCATGGTTTGCAAAGTTGATTAATACTGATTTATTAATTATTTACTTTTTCACTTGTTTCACTAAAAAAACATAATATATTTTTTTAAGTGTGATTCTAACCCAATATTTTCCACTTAAATATAATTTTATTTCGAATTTAGTCAGATTGTAATATCATCAGAATTTTTTACTAACTTTCTTCCCCAAATTATTTTAAAGTATAAAGTAGGAACTTATATTTTAAAATAAAAATAAACTTGCTTTTACCAATATTAACCGGTAGAAATTATTTCCATTCTTTTTTTAATAAAAATTTGAAAACTATTTCACAAAAATTAATGAGGGAATCTTAAAAAATCATTTATTAAGATCTAATAATCAAGATCATAATCAATCCATTTTACGTTAAAGATTTATATGTATAGGTGAGGAAAGTTAAAAAGGGTTTAAAAGGTAAAAATAATATGATAGGTGAAATAGAATTGACGAAAAGTTAAAGAAAAAGGAAGCTTAACTATAAAATTCATATGACAATGATAACAATCATAAAATTTAAAAGTGCAGTGTCGTCTGCAATCCTAATTGTGCATTGTAAAGCATACTCTTGTTAAAGCTTTTGCCCCTGAAAGGGTCAGCTGGAATGTTCGTAAGCTACTAATGGTCTACTAGACTGTTTAGTTTAATCGAAGTCGAACACGGTCAGCATACACTTGTGTTAATGATGCAAGGCGTCGTTTATTAGCTAGAACTTCGTCACGATCCTAAGATCACTGTTCTATGAGTGTAGTCAATAGATCAGATGGTTCCTATGAGTAGTCCTTTGACATGTTATCAATGTAAATGATTTAGAAAATCACAACATAATGGATGATTGTGAATGTTTAAGGTACCATCTACCTTAGACATTTTTTTGTGAAGAAATCTAATTACTAAAACATTAATATTCTTAGTGTGTCGTTTCATCAAAAGTCTCTTTTTGTAGTTATTTTAATTAAATATTTTTCTCCTTTTATTAGAAAATTCTGATAAAACACGGCAAAGAACTTCATTTTAGAATGCCATAAAGGTAAAAATTCCAAATTGGATTTAATAAGAATTTTTCTTCATTACATTTGTAATTGTTTTAAATTAAAAAAGCATATATAAAATTTCATGATTCTTTGTCAAATGACTTGTGAGGCAAATCGCAAAAGCAAAACATGAAAAAATAGTATAAAAAAGTTATAAAATGTATTGAAATTTAACCTTGTAAATATATTCTGAAGTAATGTTTTTGCAAATGCTTATTACTATAGAATATAACTATCGTAGTGTAAGAATTTCATCATTAATAGAATGATACGATTTCAAATATTTATCGTAAAAAAAAAATCTAATTTTCAAAAATTCAATCAAATTTGCCTAATTCAAGTAGCGAGATATCTTAACATTAAAAGGTACACAAAACTTGTTTTGACCTTACGAAATTGCCCTGATAGAATCGCATTGTCTATTCAACAGTTGTGTAATAGTGTGGGGGAAACTTTGTTTACCTTTTGTCTTATTAAGTTTGCTATCGTTGTGGCTCTACAATTTTGGAAATTGATTTTTGCCTAGAATTTAGCAATTTTATTTCGTTATATGTTAGTGTAACTATTAACTCTCATTATAAGCATATCTAATGCATACAGTTGTTTTAATTCCAAATGTTAAGTAAATGCTGCAAAAATAAAAATAACTACCATTAGACTCATCATGAAACAACTAGTCGTCTTTATTGGGAGTAGTATTTTCTATGAGTAAGAAGGCATCTTCCTTTGTTTGTAGGAAAAAGTATCATCTAAATAAAAGTCTGTAAAATTTTTAGAAAAATTTTATGAGCCTTTGTGATATTCCATGTGAGAGCCTAATTGCACACGTTTTATGAGTGATTTCTAATGCTGCAAGACGGTTTCACGGTTGCACATCTATCTAGAAAAGAACTAGATTACTGAAACGAATAGGAAGAATAGATTTGAAACAGTTTTAGATATCATCAGTATCGAATGAAATACTAAATTATGAGTAAATGAAAAAATAAATTTGAAACTGTTTTAGATATCATCAGAATCAAATGAAATTTTTATTCGCATCTCACAGATGTCCATAATTTTTTTTTACTGAAATCTTGAAAGAGAAGTCCAAAATCTGTACTTTCTTGTGAGAATTAGCTTGAAAAATAAATAAATGATGCTCAAGATGACATCATAAAGTATATTAAACAGTCAAGAGAAAGCATCTGCTACCAATAACTTCAATATAATAATTTGTTAATGATTTTGGTAAAATTAGCAATAAAATATTGTTTTATAATATATGATAAAATTTGATAAGTGTGATAAATTTCGTAACTTTATCATGGATATTTACGGCTCGGCATTAAAAAAAAAACATTTGTTCGGTTAAGTTCAATCTTCATCTGTATTTTTCATTTAATATTTGGTAATGAATACTGTAATATTAAGAACCAGAATTTTCAACGAAAAAAAAAAGAAAAACAGAAATAATGCCATTACCGTATAGTAAAATATTTATATTAGATTTTTTCGCTGGATATAAAATTGAATTGACTGTTAGAAATTTTGGATTGAACCATTGCATCATTCGAATGTGCTGCAACTTTAATCTAGAAATAAATTAAACTTTTATGTCGTATTATATTTTTGCTTTCTGTATCAATATATTAAACTTTAACACGCGATAATATGGTTGATCTTGATCTCAAAAACGATTAATTTTAACACTGTATTAAGGTTGTAGCACGTTTGCGTCGTATTATGGTTCTAAGTATCGTGGATGAGAATCCAACTGCAATGTTTAATCGACTTTTCAGATAGTCTAGAGATCACCGGTTCCCAATATTTGGAACCTTACATCGAACCTGTGAAACCCTAAATAATTGAACTTTCGTTACACAAATTTAGATTCAAAGTCATTTATATTTTATTAAAAAAAATATTTCAATTCAATTACAATTTACATTCTAAGAAACACCGACAAAAAAATTTATCCTAAAAATAGACGAATTACTGTAAAACGTATGAAGTGAAAAAAATAGTTATCACAAATGTTACTACGTTTTCCTACCGCTACTTTTAAAGAAACTGTTATTGAAAAGGGAATCCAAAGAGTTAGTTTCTTGACTTTTTTCGCATCTCAGTGGCGCCACTAACTCCCTGTTCCGTACTGTAGCCGGAACGGGTGTAAACATTCCCCAGTCGAGTCCTGACAATCCGTCCGGACGGTGAGTGCCGGATAGAAAGAGTTGTCTAGCGATCCGGACTATCACTTTCCACACGGAAGGATTATGTTTCGCTCTTTTATCACAATCTTTTATTGGCTCCTGGCATCGGGTGGTGAGTGCCATAGGCTTTGCATTTTTGTAGAGTTTTTAAAACGTTTTAAAATTTCGAATGATTTCTTTGTGCTTTCGAGGAAAAGGAATTTACTTCTATTTTACTTTGGAAAAAAATAGAAGTAAATTTGCTTACAAAATCTTTACACAAGTCTTAGTTTTTCTTTTTACCAAGTCCCTTTAAAAAATACATCATAAAATTCTATTTTCACTTTAAAGAGTATTTTAGAACGATAAAAATATTGAAAACTAAATATTTGAAAACTTCTTTTATATTCGTATGTAAGAAACGCTTTATATAACTGAAATATGTATATAAAATCTACTATATTGACCGTACTTGTATAGTAACGACATTAGAGTTAAGAAAAGTAAATAAAACTTTATGGTAGTAAAGCCAAAATATACAAAATAAGCGATGTCTAAATCATTCATTTGGTGCTTTTCCGTTTTTATGGTAGCGTTTTAATAGATTATTATAGTTCTTTTTTATTAGGCATTTAGTAGAAATACATAGTTGAAAGTAAATTTAAACAAATAACGGGTTTTTATGTCATCCTCAACGTTTTACCATTAAATTATAGCTCGTTTTTATTGCACATTTGGCAAAAATACTAAATTGAAAAGTAAATTTAACCTAATATATGGTTTTTATGCCATGCGCAAAGGTATCATGATTAAATTACCAAATATACTACCAAACAACATGGTTATAAAACCATATTTTATTTTTAATTTTACCAAATGTTTTAACCAAAGCTCACTGGTAAAAATTATCGCGTTTTCGGTGTCTCTTCAGACACAGATGCATAGTTAATGTTACAGCAATCAGATAGTTTTGACCCTATCTTAGTGTATTTTAGAAATTATATTTTGTGTTCAAAAATAAATTTTGTTAGAATTAAATTTTATCGAATTAAATTTTAACACAGGACACTTAGGACTGATACAAAAGATGTTGTTGTCAAATGAGAATGGAAAATTATTTGTCAGTTTTAAGCAGAAATAAATCAAAATATTAGTTTAAATTCACTTGTGATAGAATAGTGTAACGACAAATTGTAAAACTCTACTATTGAATATTGGATCTTAAAAGTCACAGAAACACCGGGTTCTATACTCGATAGTGGAATGAAGATAATCTAGCGTCAGATCAATAAATAACCTGATTGTGGATTGTGTATGAAATAAGGACGTACAGAGGGCAATGCTGTTCTCATAGCCTTTATGATGACGTTTAGTGGCGAAAGTTTGGATAAAACTTTGCGATCCACTGAGCTCAAAAACTGGCTATAACGGATGATCTATTTCTAAGAATACTAGTAAAATTGATTTTTAAAACTATTTTCATCGTCTTTCTTTGCAAAGGCTATATCTCAATTTTCAAAAAATAAAAATAGTTTTTCTATAAGCACCGTTTTTGTTAAAGTTATTCTAAATCTGAAAAGAGTAAAAATATTGTTAATTTTATTAAGTAGGGAAAACCAGTCAATAAGAGATACCATCATCATTTCGTATCTAAAATAAAGAAGAAAATAGGAATTTTTTAAATCTTTTCAAACGTTATAAATATTAAAATAATAATAATGAAAATAACAATCATACTACTTAGAGTAAAAGAAGGAAAATACCAAGTTGTTTTAAATTTTAGCCAAATATGTACATGCACTTTGATTTAACGGAATACAATACTTTTTTTAGCATTAAGCATTACAGTGTCTAAGTAAATAAACCTAATTACAATACACAATGTTTTGTACACAGTATAAAATTTTCTCATTTGTTTCAGCATGTTTTTTTTATAAAATTAGTTATGATTTCACATTAAGGAAATTTTTTTAAATAAAAAAATGGCAAAACAATTTAAGGAATTTAGATTTATTAATGCGTCATTTTCAAGTATATATTTATATATCAAGTAATATTTTCAAATTTGACAAATATATTAGACTTTGTCCATAGAAAAATATATTCTTAGCAGTGGTCAATAATAAATTAGAAAATAACATGCAAAGCTTTCATTAAAAAATTGAAAGAGACAGAGAGACGTTGTGATGAGAAAACAAGTACCAAGTTTTTTTTTCTTATTTATTACACCAAATTTAGTATCTTAGGATAGAAATTATTCATTAATATTTGGAACAAAAAACATTTGGTGTTGTTTTCTTCATTTCGGTATTTGTTTAAAGTATTTGTGCATCATAAAATTTTGTTTCATTCCATTAATAATTAATTTTTAACATAATAGTTTTATTATTGCACTAAAATAAAAGTATGGTCAAACTACTAAAATATAGCTAAAATTACCCTATTTTTGGCTGTATTTTAACAGCAAAATCTCGATAATTTTTATCGAAGAGATTTGATAACGAGTTTGGTAATTTGGTGAAATTAGCAATAAAGTATGGTACTTTGATAAGTGATACATCATTAAATGTACTAAAATTTAGTATTTTTATCATGATGCATAAGAGCCAGGACTAAAATCCATTTTATTGGTTAAGTTTACTTTTCAGTTTCATATTTTTTACTAAATGTTTGGTTCATTACCAAACATGACCAAACTAGCAATTTTAAAAACCTGAATTTACGGTAAACCAAGAAAAATCTTTACAATTGTTTAAATATCTCATATTTTATTATTGTTAACCAGAGTTATAGTCTTTTTTACCTGAAATGTCATTATCATACAGTGCGGGTAATTTGACCAAAATTTCATTTCTCCGTGTACAATAAAATCAGAATTAGCTAATATTTCTCCTTTCTTTTGTAAAATTTGTATGAAACTTTAGACTTTAATATTTCGAATAAATGGAGTTCTTTTGGGTTTATTTAAATTACCAATATATTGTCATGATCTTCAAATCTGATTTTCAGAATTGAAAAATATCCAAATTATCATATATTTTTTAGAGTGCACCATTCTTTTCCATTCCCAAAATTTAATAAAATTAATTTAAAGATCTGCATTAGATCTATGGAGTTTTTAAGTATTTTATCTCTGTTTTCTTAACTTTTCTTTGAATTGTAATATTTGTTTGTAAATCAAGGGAAATATAATGATATAAACTCGTATTTTTACTTATATTAAAATAAATGCATGTATCTTTCCTTTTCTCTTTTAATTTTTACGAATTATTATTATGATTATTAAAATTATTATTATTATTCCGGATTAGTATTATGTATCTAATAATAAAAATCAAGAATAATTCTTAATAAAGTTTTATAAAATATTTGTTATTTTAGAAATAATTCAATAATTTTCAGGATCGAAAAGATTTTATTTTCAACAAAATAGAGCTTTAAAATCTCAGAAAATATATGAATAAAATAATAAAATGATTTAATAACATTTACCGTGATCAAAAATTCTTTTATTTAAAATTATGTTTATGACCTTATCTCTAGATCTGGAGGCAAAAAAGATTGTGCTGCTATTTGCTTATTAAATAAAATTATTATCTAAGGAAAACAAGACAAGCATAAACTAAGCATAATTAAAAGAAAAATAAGTATTTTTCTTAATTTCAGTGATTAAATACTGCTCATAGTTGACTTAAGAAAATATTTCCTAATACTTATGAAATATTTCTTACAGTTTTAGAAAGTATTTCATATGACCCGAGTTTATGTGTTCTGACTATGCTTTGTACAACCATGTAATCAAACAAGAGTTTTTTTTCCGCCATGATAAGGCATAATGATAAAATTACTAAACTTTATCACGTTGACCGAATTTTATCACATATTGTAAAACCATTTATTAAGGTTAATTTTACCAAAATTATTACGAAAGTTTCACTGTAAAACCTGCTGAGCTTTTTGGTATTTTCATAGAGTCAGGTGTATGGCTCTATTGATAGTTTCGACAGTACTTTTTTTCTCAGTACAGTTGGCAATGTTTTAGAAAAACGCTTGATGAGAAATTAAAGCATATGAACTGCTAAGGAATAATTATTTTTCACGAAACACTTGAATACTTTTTAACAAAAAAAATGAGAAATTGTGTGTATTCTCATAAATTAATTAGCTGAAAGAGATCGATTGTAAATACCGTCAGTTCTTCCTATAAATGATTAGAATGAATTAATGATATTTTATTTTGGTACTTAGCATAAAAATCATATCAATTTAACAGTTCTTAATAAATAGATCTTAATATGAAAATTAATTACGTTTTTAAATCTGGAACATTTTATTCTAGAACATTACATTTTGAAATCTGGAATATTTAATTAGACACACATGATCCATTAGACTATATTTAATTAAATCAAATTCAGACTTTAAGCGTTAGTAGTATTTTTATTTTCAACATAACTTTAAAATTAGAATTTGCAGAGAAAATTTATTCAGCGGTTGGTTTTGCAATAAACGAGTCGCTTAATATTTTAGCTGGTGAGGGAAACATTAGTGTACGTTCATTAATTTATTGACTTGCGTAACTCACAGAATGCCTGTTTAATGAAATTGTTGTTCCTGTTTAACTCATGTAATTTAAAACCGAGAAAATATTTGTATTTGAAGTTGACTAACTTTAGAAGAATGTGTAAATTATTCAAATATCTTTAAGGAAATATTACATTTCAGAATGATTTTTCTGTACATACTATATTTTGTTTTCTGCATTAAGTTGTAAATAAAAAAAAAACTATTATAATCAATTTTTACTTAATTATTTTAATATATTTTAATATTATTATAAAAGAGATCAATAAGAAAAACGTCATTTCATGTAATAATTATCAGAATTCATGTCATTAAAACGTAAATGAAGAAAACAATTTTTCGCAAAATTACCTTACTGCATTGTTGTTATTGTTCTTTTCGTGGCCATGGATTTTCGAAGAACATCGAAAGTCTGTACGATTGCGACAGCCAGCTTCAGTGCCTCTTGAATATAGAAAACAGATAGTAGGTTGTCCTCATAAATTTATCATTTGTTAAATTATTATTTAAAGCATTTTAACACATTTACCAAATATTTTCTTAAAATAT